AGCAGGTCATGCTGACTTTGAAGGGATTCTGTAACTTCCATCAGCAAACAAGACCCCAGTGAGTCTGGGGTGGCTTCATGAACTGCTAAGATTCAGTGTCGATTTATTTAAGGACTTAGATGAGAACACAGAAAGTTGAGATGGAGAAAGGATCACAGAATTAGTGGGCAAACTCCAGCAAGGGAGTCTCAGGTGTGTTTCATCTGACTTACATTTGTAATTGGGCTTCCACAAATTCCACAGGGCAACTATTTTGCAAGATGACACTTCCTCCAGTTTCCTTTGGCAGTTTGCAGACTATTACCGTCCTGCTTTATCCTTTGTGTCCTAACCACAAGCATCACATTTAATCTGAATGGCATTTGGTAAAGAAGTAACTAGCAGTGGACAGCCCTTTGTCCTCTCATGCACAAATGTAAGGCAGAAAATAATTCATTCAGGATGCCCTCTGAAGCTCCATGGTATCAACTCCTGAAGGAGGGCAGGCCAGCTTCAGTAGACTAACAACAAAGTTGCTTTCCTAATGAGGGATCTGTCCTTAGCAATTCCAAACTATGCTGTAGATGTGGGCAAGCCTGCCACAGCTGAGATTTGCTCCAAGCACAGCCAAAAGAAATTGTCCCTTAGGGTCAACACTCTGCAGTGGGAATTTAGTCAGTGATTCTGATACTGAGCAAGTTAAAAAAAACTAATTATTTTCAAGCCTCTGCAGAAGTATTGGCTCTGTACTAGTCCCAGTAGCAAGTAGAAATAACATCTTTTTGGTTTGACGTGAAAGTGAACTAGAAGCACACAGTGGAAACAAATCTGTTGAATAAGATGTGTTTTTAGGAGAGAGATTGAACAGCAGAAACAAATGTTGACACAGCAGATAGTTTCAGTTATCAAACCCTGTTTCTGAAATGCTCCAGCATCCAAATGCTTAAAAACTAAAATATTTAGTACAACCCAGAGATGAAAGGTAAGAAAAAATCCCACTCTGCTCTGCTGTAAATAAAACCTAACCTTCATCTTTTTTAAAAAAGAAGGAGGAAAGAAAGAACAAAGCTCAAAGACTGGCAAAGGGAGAGGCTTCGCACTGAGAGCCCTTTCCCAGGTGGGTGTTGTTTCTCCCTGGAGGAGATTGCTCTCAAGGACTCTGGGTGCCAAAGTCTAGTCCAGTTGTCCACTTTGGCCACCCTCATTAACATCCAAAGCCAAGTCCTGGGATTGAGATATTGGCTCAAACTGATGCTCTGTCCAGGGACTGTCTTTCTAGGAGTACTCATTGCTGGAGATGATGGGAGTGTGCTGATTATTTGGACCATTATTAGGATTAAAGTGGGGTTTAGCTTAACCCCCCATAGGCTTTTGCTCAGCAGAACATAACAGGTTATACACATTCCCAGAAGCTGACTACTTTTAAGCCGATTCAAAGCCAAAGACAGAGGTCTCCATTCACTGACCTGGAAGACCAGTTCTAGTTCTATGTTCCTGTAAGACCTAATGTTTCGGTGGTGTATCAGCCACATTGCAACACATGCATCTATATTCACATGTCTGTGTATGTGTTTACTCCTTGCTGGCTTTGGATCTTAATCAATTGGTAGTAAGGACTTAGTTAGAAATATCTAATTTAAAGAAAGACAGAATTCTCCATCATTAACAATGCAGTAGCACTTAATACGTGGAAGATAATTGCCGAAGCTGTAAGAAACCACTGCTACGTTCTTTAAAAACATGGGGAGCAGTATCAGGCAGACAAACTAATTTTTAGATAACGTATTAGGAAATCTATATTATTCTATTTTGCTCTTAATGACAGGCTACATTACATCAGCTCTGTTTTATGCAAACTGAGATACTACTAAGTCACTGAAGATTAAATGGCACAAGAAAAGAGCTGTCAGCCTGCTTTACTCACTTTCCATTTTGCTTCTCTTATGAAAGGGCTGTATTGTTTCAAAAGGAAGAAGCCAGGCATTTCAGAGAACAAAGGTTCCTAATTGTTTGGTAGAACTTCATTACTTTCCTAATTGGTCTTCAAAGTCATGGGCTTGCAATCTAAAAAAGTGAGGACTGTACAGCGTGGTCTGTATAAAGACCAGGCTTCAGACTATGCGGGGTGTTCGTGGGGGAGAATAGAGCATCTTTGAACTAAATATGGGAAATAAGGCAGTACTTTCTAGAATAATGTAATGCTGACTGAGGTGTAACAATCCAGTGTCTCAACATAATAGATAGTCTTTCATGTCACCTTCCCTCTCATCAAATGGAGACAAACCCTTTTCTAAACCTTGTGGCAGATATTGACAAGTGCCTACAGTTCAGATCTTTCCAACAGAGGTACAAGCTCTTCTGCTGATGGCTGTGCAATCACCCTTGCTCACTAGTTTTCATAGCAAGTCAGAAACTGTAAAGTTTACTGAAACTATTGATACTTTATTGCAGAAGAAAACTAAGAACAATGATTCTCAGGACTCAACCTTTGGAAATAAAACAAACAAGCAGGAACCAGTGTCTCCGCTTACCTACACCTATCCGTATCCAAGAAGTAGTTTCTCACCTTTTCAGAGCTCTAATTATTTCTTGCTTTAATCTCCGAGCCATGTTACTGCCAAGTAGTACACATAAACCTACCTCTAAAAACCTTGTACAGACTGCTTCTACTGATGAACATACCTGGTTCTGGTCTCTAGGGATGAGGCCCCTTAAACATACTCTGCCCTCCCCAACATTATCTGGGGCACAAATGATCTGGGATTCTGTGCAGTAACAACCATTCACCTCCTGTAGCATGCCACAGCAAGGGCATGAAAAGCTGCATACAGAACTCGGTATTTTGTCAGACTTTTTTTACTGGAAGCCTCAATGGCAATGGGAGAAGCTTGGAGAGGTGTGTGTGGGTTTGTGTGGTGGGGCGTGGGAGGTGCCTGACGCATTGTATTACGGTAACAACTCAGGCTAGGGTACCATGTTAACCTGCAAGAAGAGCTAAAAATGATTGCCAGAGGAAAAGCTTTGGGTAGACATGCAGCAAATATAAAATTCAGGTCTTCTCTGAAATGTTACATTTGCATAACCTCTCTGTTTATAGCAAGCACCAGTCTGGCTCTTGGCATATTCCACGTTCATCTGTAGTCCCATCAGGATCCCTTGATTTCTTGGACTTTTATTCGAAGATGTAATATTAAGGAGTCATGGCTGTGGGGAAACCCATGCAGGACAGGTGCCAAAGTACAAGGAACACTGACTGCATGCCTAATGATTGCATTAGGAAGCCTAAATTAGGTGAGAGCAATAACACCAGCAACACCTGTAGCCTAGGTTTGCAAACCAATACACACCCCTGCACCTCAACAAGCTCATACAGACCATGTGTGTGGATATCCACAGAACAGGTTTCCCTGAACAAAGGCAAGATGCAGGAAGGCGTTAATTCCATTCAGGTCTGTCTTGCCTTAACAGTTCTTTTACGCTGAGGACCCAAGGGAGGGTTGTGGAAAATGACCCAGCCCTGAGTTATCCCAGAATGGAACAGCAGACAAAGGACCCGAAACCTGAATAGAATCAAACACCCGATAACAAACATTTTGCCCTGAGTCTCATATTCAACCACTGTCTACTCTTGAGATGTGTTAAATTTGGCTGAGTAAATAATGTATGTGTGAAATACGTTAATCTGGCTAAGTATCAAGATGAGTCACCGGTGTGCTAGCTATCACACAGTAGGGGGCGCCCAGGAGAGGTAAGGGGAAATCTCATAATACTGCCAAAAGATAAACATTCTAGATAGTCCAAGTCCCCTCAGGCATGCCTCTGCCTCCCCCACATCCCATCCTTACAGTACAAAAACTGTAAGATTTTGGGCAGAATTTCTGGGGGAGACAAGTTTTACCAACCATACAGCTGGACTGTAGGAGATTCTTGCCCCCTTATTCAAGAGGTTAGATAAGGACATCTTCTCCAGGATTGAGAACCCTTACCTGAGAGAGTGACTAAGACAAGTGTGGCATACTTTAGGATTGCTATTGTTACTAACTTGTGCACTTCTTAAATCTGTACTAGTACATTTTTCCTGGGAATCACTGAGTTCTGCAGTAGTGCATCTTGTGTATTGTCGTGTTGTTGCTTCTTTCTCTAATTGCAATAGTGCATCCTTCTATTTTATCCATAAAACCTGCATTGTGACATAATAGACCTTTAAGTGTAGCTCTAATAAACTGATAGTTTTAACTTTGCAGTGAAGTCCATGTACTGGACCTGTGAGTGGAGTTCAGGTAGATCTCTAGCTAGAAACTTACAGTGCAGTCTCTCCATCACACCATGCTGAAACATTTTGCTATTATGAAGGAGAAGTGGACACACCTTCCAGTGCTCCAATCTTAACTTGGATAACACTGTAGACATAACCATAAAATTAGCTGGATCTAGCAATGTATTCACCCTAGTTCTTCACAATATCACCCATCTGGTGACTCCTTGTGACAGATTCCAGAGTGGCAGTACTTTAAGAGCATTACTTGCCCATCATAATTCACTACACCAACATCAACTACAGAGTAGTGTGCCTTGAATCCCAGTAGCACCCACTTCCACAGACAGCTGCCTCTGGGCTTATTGTGCCCAACAAAGCTCTCTTTAAGGGTTAATATATGTATTTTACACACTGCTCATCACTTACTGCCCTGTGATTTTGTATTTGGAACGTAAAGAGCATTGCATGCTGGTATATGCAGAGGAGATTAGTTCCTCCCCAAAGAGAAGTCATTTACAGTAATGAAAAATAAGGAGAAATAATTGTTTAGAACAAACTTCTGCTCACAAGTTTAGTTTGTGTTGAGATTCATACCATTGCTTTGCTTTCCTTCACATTTCAAATTTAGCTCGAAATACATCTTAATAATCAATTGCTAATACATGTATAAATGAATGCCTTTTCCTCACAAAGCACTCTTCCTGCTATGCCCAAACTCAGCCCAATTAAAATCAGAGTTAGAGGAAAGGAAAAGCATTCTTACCTGCCACACTGGCCCCATATGCTTTCCTGACTTAGCACGACTCTTGCAGCTGGGCTGGGAGGTTGCCTTCTTCAGGTTGTAGATGGCCACATTGCCATCATAGAAGCCCACCGCCATGAGGTAGGGTTGGTCATTATGGAAGTCCAGGCACATGACGCCACTCTCGCTGCTGAACACATACTCTGGGAAGGAAGGGTTCTTCATGGTGTATAGCAGGAGCATGCCTTGGCCCTGCTTCAAGAAGTCATCTAAACAAGGAAGAGGTTTGTTGTTAAATCTGTTGCCAAGATTCTCTACTGTTGAGACACTCAATCTGGGAGCACTCATACATGACTAAAACAAACCTTAATGCAAAGTCATATGGGAAGGACATCAGTCACCGGACCAAATGGTCATGCTGGCATGCCTACATGTGAACATCCTTTCCTTCATTGATATGTCATCCCCAGGTCATAGGGACAATGTGCTTTATACAGAAAAACTACTGGTTTGGAAGTTTTTTTCTAGGAGAGAGAGCTGAGAAGTCTTGGACAAAGATGTGGTGGAGAAAAGAATCTTGTGGATACTTCTTTCTCTAGGCTAGGATTTCACTAACATTGCAGACATGCAGGCTGAATGAAGGACAGTGGCATTTCAGTGTCCATATCGGCAATATTTGACATTACAGCCTCCACTCTTTGTTCAGAGAAAAGCATTTCACTGAAGTTTTGTAAAGCATCATATTCACTGCCATTACATGTAACTGCACAATGCACAAGCCACTACAGCTTTATTTTCTGCTTGTGTCCAACATCTCCTTCTCGTTTGGCACAGAAGCTCTTTTTTTGCCAAGACTTTCCATTTACTTTTCTATTTACTTTCACCTTTCCTTTGCACTGCCTGAAATTACCTCTCTCTATTCTCAATAGGACCATCTTTCTTTTGTAGCTTTTTTTAATCACGTCCTGACTGTCTGCAATTCTCAGGTTTTTTGCTCATCTAAAAAACAATTTCCAAATTCTTTTAAAGGGGAAGAAAAGCTGTTGATGTAGATAAGCTCTCCAGAAGCAAAGAAGGAGCTTTCCTAATCTATGAAAACAATGCGCTCTCTGAAAATATCCTAGCCATCTCTCCAAGTACTTTTTCTTACTGTCAGATGCCCTTGGGCACACAGTATATGGGAAACAAATGTACTGCTTTCAGTGCTTCAAGTACCTACTCCTATTTCCAGAACAGTCATCTTCTTTTAAAAGTGCTTCCTACCTTTCTTAACATTTTGACCAGCCTGCAGGAGGAGCACTCAGTGAGTGCATACCCCAGTAATAGCACTAACATCAGAGAATTACCCTTAGTGGCAAACTGATACCAAATCACCATGCAGATACAGATACTGCTTACCTCAAATTTATCAGAGCCACACAGAGAACATTCAAAGAATCAGTAAAGAAACTCACACATTAACAAAACTGTTACTACTGCTTTGTATTTGGATTGTGGAAATACTCTATTTTCACAGAGATCTCTGTACATTTAGGCCAGGCAGAGGAAATTATTTATTTAGCAGGAAAGTGAGATTCCAATACTGGCATGACTTTAAACATATCTAAAACAAAAAATATTTTTAACTTTTTTTTTTTTTGGAAGAGGGAGAATCTTATTCCTAGAACTAGAGCTGAACAGGAAATAAACTTTCTTTCTCCACCAGACATTTGCCCTGTCCTTAGAATTCATGGAATTGTCTTTGTTCTTAGCCAAGTAATCTCACTGAACTGGTATGATGATGAGATCCAGCCATGAGAAGCATGAATCCCTCCTCTCTCTTCAAGAGCAAAAAAACTTGGTAAGGCTTTGAAGATGACCTACCAGGAGTGACTCACAGCAGAATGGACTATGAAGTCAAATCGTTTAGGCAGCCTTTCAATTCAACCTGTGTCATGCTCTTATTTCTCCTAGAGTGCGCTGACCAGCCAGGCATATTTTAAAAAAGTCTGTGGTGCACATTTGTTTTCTATCTGTTAGGACTGTACTGAGAGGCCTCAGAGAGCTGCCCCAATGCTCAGATAGCAGAGGACACATCTCCTCAGAATGTGATTCAGCCACCAAAGATCTGAATTGGGTTTTGGAGGTTTTTCTCTCTCCACTGATATAGCAGTATTATAAACCAACCACATTCACCAAGCAGAACAGCTGGAGCAAGCCTTTATAGTGTAAAATAACTCAGCAGATGCAGCAAGTCCACCTGGAGGTCAGTGTGGCAGAGGAAAAGCAGTGGGATCTAGACAGGCTGGATGGCTGGGCCAAGGTTAATTCCATGAGTTTCAACAAGGCCAAACGCCAGGTCCTGCACTTTGGCCACAACAGCCCCCAGCAGCGCTACAGGCTTGGGGAGGAGTGGCTGGAGAGCTGCCTGGCAGAGAGAGACCTGGGGATGTGGATGGACAGCCGGCTGAACATGAGCCAGCAGTGTGCCCAGGTGGCCAAGAAGGCCAACAGCATCCTGGCCTGTATCAGGAATGGTGCTGTCAGCAGGAGCAGGGAGGTGATCATGTCCCCGTACTCGGCTTTGGTGAGGCCCCACCTTGAGCGCTGTGTCCAGTTTTGGGCCCCTCACTACAAGAGGGACATTGAGGTGCTGCAGAGGGTACAGAGGTGGGCTGCCAAGCTGGCAAAGGATTTGGAGCATGTGAAGTACAAGGAAAGGCTGAGGGATCTGGGGCTGTTTAGCCTGGAGAAGAGGAGACTGAGGAGAGACCTTATCGCTCTCTCCGACTACCTGAAAGGAGGTTGTAGAGAGGTGGGAGTTGGTCTGTTCTCCCTAGTGGCAAGTGATAGGATGAGGGGAACTGCCCTTAAATTGCACCAGGGGAGGTTCAGGTTGGATATTAGGAAGATTTTCATTACTGAAAGGTTTGTCAGCCATTGGAACAGGCTGCTCAGGGAGGGGGTTGAGTCACCGGGGAGGTGGTTGAGTCACCATCCCTGGAGGTGTTTAAGAGAAGGGTAGATGTTGTGCTGAGGGGCATGGTTTAGTGCTGTTCATAGGGCTAGGAAAAGGTTGGACTCAATGATCTTGGAGGACTCTTCCAGCTGAAGCTGTTCTATGATTCTATGATAGAGTCTTGAGAAGAAGCTCTGGCTTCAATCCACTTCACTAAGTATAGCAAACTCACCTTAGAGAAGGTCTAGTGCTCTGCTCTCTGGGCTCCACTGACTGATGGCCAACTCTCTACTGCCTGCTAAATACATCTTAATCCAAAGGCTGAATCCTATTCAGTTGTCTTCTTTATGTTATGAGATATCGCAGATGTGGGTTAAATCACAGATGTGTGAACACTGCATGTAAGTCTGGATAATATGATTGCTAAAGTACAGCCTATTTCTGTTGAAAGGCAAAGTGATGAGAATAATCCACAATTAACACTGAAGCACGGCACATAAATCCCAATAAAACAAAAACTTTCCGAGAGTAGGCATATAGATCCACTTCAGAGAAGGGTGAATTCTCACTCAGAGTACTAAACTGTGACATACCAACATGTTCTGTAATAAATGAAAAACAAAAGGCTTATTTCATTAGCGATATTGAATGTTCCAGAATGCCAGCAACAGCACATACCCACGGCAGCATATCTGTGGGAGAGATTTGAAGCATGGACTTTTCAAGGGAAAGCTTTGTGTTTTACAGTAAAATCTAGCAGAGCACTGCAGTGTGCACTGCAGGTAGCTTACCGAAACAGCACTAGAAGATCCTAGAGCACAGAGCAAAGCAGAGGGTGCAGACCCAAGACCCCATTGCCAGCTAGCAATGGCTGCACCACTGCTAGAGGTGAAAGCAGCAGCTTCAGATCTGAGACAGCTGCTCTGCACTGCATAGATGCACCATTGTGCACTGGAAGACCAGAGTATCTGCCCCACGCAGACGCACAAAGTGCAAACTGGTTCTTTATTTGAGATGCAGGCGCTGGAGATACTAGACATATCAGACAGTTATTCTGATGATCAGTGACAGCGTTTGTTTGTTCTTCTACTTTACAGGAGGACACAAGGCAGCACACAAGAAGAGAGTGAACAGACTCTTGCTGTAATAAGGAAGAGTCGCATGTCATGAGGATTCTCAGTGTTCACCTGAGTGGAGGTTAAATTTCACACCTTGACATGTAACAAGTGAATGTGGGAAGAGAAGCTTTGCTAATGAAAGATGCAGCTTGCATGATAAATGGTCTCACTCTGGCAAACTGAGGCTGTAAGCACCACATGCAATTAGAAATAGGTGTCAAACCAAGTACTATCGTTGTATAAAATATTCATCTGCATTTGCATTTGAACTAGACAGATTCAACCCAAACCCTTTTCAGAAAAAATACCAATTTAGTGGTAGCAACATACCTCAGAATATCATTGTGGTATCACCAGCTAGTTCCTGAATAACAAAAATCTGAAAAGCATCTAATTTTTCTTTTTGATGCTTACGAAGCATCTGTTTTAATAGATTTTTAATGCACATTTTTCCTCAGTTGAGTTTAAAAGAATCAGCAAATGTTCAATATAAGATCAAAATATTTTGTTTGCTGGAGAAAATTTTTTTTATTTCCATCTTTCTCTTTCAGTTCACCAGAAAACCCCATGGGACATGCATGGCTTTCCTCCTTTTCCTCCAAAATGCTTAGAGGCTGAAACAGTATGCTCAACACAACAGGATGCTCAAGCTAGAAACTACAATGCTTGGGGTAAACCCTGCATTCACACAGCAAATCTCAGTGTGGGAACCCTCCATTGTCATGAGTCAAAGTAGATATTTTTACAAGACAAGAAGCCAATGCTACAGTTGCTTATGTGGTAAACTGGATTTAAAACCCAACGCACTGCAGCCTTACATCTTAGATCCTGTCATGCATGGCTTTCTATAAGTCAAGTCTGCCAGGAGTCTTGTCAATAGGGCTTGGACCAAGAAATCACGATGCTAAAAGGAACCATTGCTGCTTAAAATCAGTCCCTTCTCCTTCAAGAGCCCATCTGAAAAAAGAAGCAAGATGGAGGACAGCTGTGAACCGCTGCTTATTTCTGAGCATCACAGCTGTACGGGCACACCCACTCTGCTCTCCTAGACACGCCCACACTTTGATGAGCTTGCTGGCTGGGGCTCTATCCTTTTAGGCCTGGATTTCCTAGAAGGCAGGCAAAGGCCTGGGCTGTGCTTTACACTCACTGTTAAGCGTTCTCTTGTGGGGATAAGAGATCAATTTCAAAGACAAAAATTTTGGTACCCAAA